GGAACAGATTTGCTTGACATACATACATAATTTCTGCCCTTAAAATACTGTTTGGTCATGGGATTTTTGCTTTCTTTGCTTTCTTCATGTCACCCTGCATGTTCCCAGCTCCATGCAAGAAACTCAGCACCATTTGTTCCCACGCCAGCCTACAGCTCTGGAAAATGCTGTGGAAGCACGTTGAGCCACATTGGTGCCTGAGAGSCAACCATCTCCCTGTGGAGGAAAAGAGGACACTGCTGCCTGCGAGRCTTCTGGCTGCCCCAGGTTTCACTGCCTCAACTTCTCCCACCACCTCCACGGCTCTATTCAGGCAAYCTCTGCTCATTCAAGTCCCTGGAGAATCTTTATTCAAATCTCTTCTCTGTCCAAGGGACTTAAGAGTTTAAAGTGACACCAACAGAAAGCAGATGAGGCCAGAGGAACAGCCTGTCCATGACTCCCACCGTGACATGTGGAGGAACAGACCCAGCCATGCGATGCTTCTTAGCCTGCCCAGTGCAGGCACTTGAGTGACAGTGAAATTTGATCACAAAACTTCAGACCACAGGTTCTGAGCAGCAACACCACTGGGTGAGGCTGATTTTGTGTTTCTAGCTTTAAAATGTGGCACCTGCGGCTTCTGTAAGTCAGGAAAGGAAGCAGTGGAAGAAGGGCTCAGACTCCGTCAGAAGGCACAAGCCCTCCCCCGCCTCTCTGGTGGCACCCTTRGCTCTAGGTCACCTCTCCCCTGGCATTCACATGGATGGGAGTGCTGCACTAGGCATTTTGTGAAGGGACTTTGCATGAGGACGAAGCATCATCRCAGGTCATTTGTTAGTCTGTGGAGTAGCTGCGGGGCGCCATGCTTAAGAAACTCATTGCATTTGTCTTAAGATGGAAAATACACACATAGCGATCAAGGACAATTCTCCTTCCTTGGTCAGAACAGGAGGCTTCCCGTTCCCAAGGTCTGAGTGAACACCTGATCCAAGTGCCAAGGGTCTTTGCAGAGCTTAAACAGTGATGCCATTAGAGGTGAAGCAGTTTCTTGGTCCTCAGCTGCCATAGCAGCACCCCTGGCTGCTGAAATAACCCTTTGAAGAACTTTGGAGCCTCCTCCCCATCCTCCTCAGGGCACCGTGGAATGGTTTCAATTGGAAGCAGCTGTGCAGTGTGGTAGGTAGGAGCAGGCATCTGCTCAATGTGAGCTCCTAGTAAACAACTCCTGTACAATGACTTGAAACACCATGATTCAAAGGGAAAGGATTTAAAATTAGACTAGTACTCACTCATGGTCAGTTGTCTGGCCCATTAGACTTGCCAACATTCCTYACCAAGTATTTGGAGTCAAGAATATTATCTTCTCTTTGTTGCTTGATACGTTTTGGATGGAGCATTCATCCTCAATGAGTGGGTCACAGAGAGATTTCCAGGTCATCACTCACGTTGCAAACACTCTTCCAGTAAGGTGGCCTTGAAAGGCAGAGATGCACTGCTGGGAATGGTCGACTTAGGTTTGAATCAGGAAAGGACTTTTAGCTCAATATTAGAAACATCATTTTGATTTCAAAAAGAATATTTAGGCCAAGCGTGGTTTCCATTTTTTTCTGTCACTGTCAGATCCATTGTCATCTGGGTTTGTGTAAGGTGTTAAGAGCTGCATTACACACATCTACAGTTATCAAGGTTCACAGGAACATTTGCCCAGCACTGAAATCCCTTTTTCCCCCAATATCCCAGGAGCTACACTTGGACACAAGCAAGGAAATCACTAGGCAATCTGTGTGGCAGACAATTTAAACCACAACTCCTCTGCTTTCAGAGGCAGAGGATGAAAGACAGGAACATGCAATAGGGGACACAGATGGAGAAGGCCTGAATGTAAAACTGTTTGTGCACTAAATCACTRCAAAAACATTTCTTGTCGGAAAGAGGAGTTACGCTTTTGTGATCATAGGATCAATTTCTACTGTGTCACCATATCCTGCCCCTTACCAGTATTAACAAGCTTTTCATGCCTTTTGCTTTGTTGCTCCTTGGAAAATATTGAGCAGATTTTATTCCAGTTTTCACTCTGACTGGCTCAGTATCTTCCCTTAGTGAGGCAGTGCTACTTTGCTCAGCAATGTAAATAAACTTAAGGATTGCAGCAAATGCTTTACACACATAGTTCTAATAAATRCAATTTCATAGTCATAGCCAGGAAGTGAGGTTTTAAAGGTAAGAAATGTAATTTACTGCAGGCAGCATTTTCTAACTGTCACACCAAAGCTGCRACTCCAAAGTCAATTTGTGCCACAAGAACAAGCTTCCCTGCTTGCTTCTCAACCAGGAGAATCAGACAACAAAGCTGATTTGAAAAACCAAATGAAACTCAGTCCATTTCATCGTGTAGGAGGTTTAAAGGGGAAAAATATCTGACACCAAACAAAAAMCACATGCTGATGAAACAGAAGACCAGAAGATCAAAACTCTCATTTCTGAAAATCCTCCTTTAAGTAACAAATGCAGTCTAGTTATTCTATGATGTTATTAGCAAAACTGCTAAAGGYATTTCTACATAAAAATGAAATTGCACACATGCCCAAATATTCTCTTTTATGCTATTTTGGTGACATAACTCCCCGATGTCTTGCTTTGAAAAGCCTAGTATTTTCCAGTGCACTGGATAGATTGGCTCAAACTTGAACATCAAAAAGTAACCTTCACATTCATCAATGAAAAGTGACAACTGATTTTATTGACTGTTTTCATTATAACACATGACAGTGGGAATATTTTTCACTGTTAAGATTTTTGAATGGAAGAAAAGTGCAGTTAGTCTGAGTTCCTTACATTCATTAGAAGCAAGACTATTGAAACCATCAACATTTACAATGACACATAAGCAAACACCAGAATCAGTGCCAATAAATACACAGAGTACCAAAATAAATATTTACAGAATTAAAAATATAACAAACACAAATTAGTATATCCTTGTGAACTGCCAGGGAAGAAAGACACCTATTGCTATCAGTTAGGTTGGAAATACATTAAGAATACAGTGATTCGAGGAGACACGTACTATCAAAGTTTATAGAGGTGGAAGGAGCAGAGTGTGTCTAACAGTCTGTTTTAAAAACACCCCCTGGAATGTTGTGAGCTTTCATTAAGAAAACGTTGGTGCCACAGACTTGCCAGATAACTACCAAACCTTAGATGAGAAGAGCAGTGAGTTCTGGCTTTACTCACTCAGTATCTCGACTAGGTCAGACACTACCTTACAGGAGGTCCTGACACAAAAAAATATGAGGAAATATTGTAATTAACAGTGATCTGTCAGCTATAGGATATCTTATAGAAACAGGCTGAGTGACTTATAACAGGACACACCTGTCCTCTCCAGCACGCAGGAAACACCGAGAGCATTGGTTTGTCCAATGCAGTCCCTGCTACCCTTCCTCAGGCACACCATGATGTTTAGGTAGAGTTGGGCTGTCACAAAAGACTGAAGCCATGCTGTATTTTCTGGGTTTATTGAATCTGTGTTTTCCATCCACCCATTCATACCTCATCCCCCTTTTCAACAGGACCACAAGCTTCAACACCAGAATAGAACCAGGTTCTATTAACAAACAGAGCAGGGAAAATTCAGATGAAGCCAAATTATGGGTGTTGCCTTAATAAAAACCAACAGCACTAACAGATCCATTGATTTCAGAGAGAATACTGGTGGAATGAGTTATTGTCTAGTTGTTACAATTTCACTGACAGCAGAGGATTGATTTTATTTTTACGAACAAGCAACAGCTTTAGTCTTGCTCCCCCTTTTGAAAAGCAGGGTAATGTTGCCCAGTACTTATTGGTGCTGCTGCACAGCACATCTGACACTCCCTCCCCACCTCGTCCTTGGGCTGCAAGGGTGCAGCCAGAGCTCACCACTCTGCCTAGGGCTTGTCTTTGCATTTTCCTGGCAAAATAAGGATGGGGGAACAGTGAGATGCCATGGACCAGTGCTGGGCTACAGGGGTTTTGTGGATGTTTCTGTGCTGAAGTTGCCTTTAGAAATYCAGACACTGCTCAGGTGTTGATGGGAGCAGTCACACAGCAGTTAACCTGCAGGAGCACTGGCTTCAGCACACCCCAACTCACCCTGGCTCCCAGCAACCCAGCATCAGTGCAAGGAAAAAAAGGAGACAGACTTCTTAGGCAAATGTGTAACTCTTTCCACAAGGACAAGAGGCCCAGGCCTTGCTTTGAGCTCGTCTCCCAGACACCCCAGCACAGCACCACYGCCCTGCCTTTTGGCCAGGGCTGACACCTGCAAGGGGCAGCACCTTGCACCCCTCTGCTGGCAGCCCACGGCAAGGTCAGGCAGCAAGTTCTCCTGATGGCTTGGGGTGCCTTGCTCCCCCAGCCCACAGGGTGCAGGTGAGTTGGGACACACCTTCCCCTCTGCTGCCAGAATAAGGGTCAGGCTTAATTCAAAGCAGATATAACCAGTTTTCTTTTATGAGCACATTCTGTTCGAAGCTTCAGTGCATCTGCATAAAAAGCCCATGGAAACAACCTGATACTGATTTAGCAACTGTTTTGATGCAACATCATCCCAAATAATAAAAATCTGTTAAAAATCTTACCATTCAGTCCCCACATACCTTCTCCCTAATGACACGTTTAAAATGTGGCTGTACAATAATTGAAGGGAGGCTTCATTACTTACCATTTCAAAAACATGAACAACAACAAAACAAGCAGTGGGTTAAGAGCTCTGGAAAGAATCTGGTCCTGTTTTCACCATCAAGAGTTAAATTAAGGAAGGCAGTGATTGTGTTAGCTGTAATTTAAACATGCTGAGCAATGTGCAGGAGTGCAGCTTGTTGAGATTAAAAACAATAGAAAGACATGTTTTGCAATCAGGTCAGTGAAAACACTACCACAGTAATGTAAAAGACTGCACAAACACCTGAAAAATGTTAGTCTTAAAAAAAAAAAAAAAAAAAAAAAAAAAAAAATAAATTATAAAAAAAAAAAAAAAAAAAAAAAAAAAGGAAGACTTGTTTAAGAAACACTTTCTACTTCCTTAAGACTAAGAGATTAAGGATCTTTGCCAGCTCTTACTGGAGTCAGTGGAAGCTTTGCCACAGCAGAACTGGACCATGGAAAGAGATTGTCCTGTTGGAAAATGCCAGTTTTCTAACTTTGTGGCCATAGCTGGAGTAGCTTTTATTGCAAAGCATTGCTTGGATGTGATGTCAAAGTAAGAAAAGCAATCTTCTTTCAGCCATTGCTACCAGAAGCCTTTCAGCCTGGCAGTTTAAAACTCGTTGCCCTGTGAGGTGCACAACCTTTTCCTCTCTGTACTACAACTTTGGCTCTATTTATTTACGTACAGAAAGGAAAAAGGAAAGCAGTTCTTAGCAAAGATAATCTGGGCACAGTCTCCATAACAAACATCTCCTGGGCTTTCCTACAAGAGTGACCTGCTTCCCTGCTACATTTACTAAATTGTCCACAACAGGAAAGTGRAGGAATGTACTCCATGCTATGCAAAATATCACTCGACATCCTCACCCAAGTGTATGAAATCACACAGCAGAGATCTCAATTTAAAATATCTTTGCTGCTTATTCTGAGGGGGATTTAATTCTTTCAAGACCAAGAACTAGAAGCAAAGATCTCCTAAAGAGGAGGCATACTGGCAGCAGACCCTCTTTTCTAGTGCTGGAAGGCTAGATCGAAAATCTGTTTCCCAAGCAACTGCAGYATGGCTGAGAAGGAATGAGAGACACAGGAAAAAACAGGGTCCTAGGCAACAGTACTCACTGTTTTGGGTGAAGAAGCCTTCTAAGGCAAGAAGAGTTTTTAACAACCTGCTTTTGCAGGAATAAAGGCCCCCATGATGTGGCTCAAGTGGTTATAGCTATAATTCCTTTGCATATGACAAGTCCTTTCATTTCTCTCTACATGAAATGGACCTAGGAAACACCAAATCAGTGCTGAATGTTCCTGCCCAAGATGCTCACAAGGAAGATGAGTAATGATGAGTAAAAAATTACTGTGAGTTAAATTAAAAATAAATTGCCCCCTGAAAACAACAGCAAGACAGACTGAGATACCTCCTGCTCACAGTAAACAGCACGTGGACTCATGACAAGGGAATCCTATCATCCCATCCCTCCTACCCCTCAGTGGAAGGAGGGATATTCAGGAGGAACCAGTCCCAGGCCACTGGGGACAGCTAACAGTGTATTCTCAGCACTGAATCTCAGAAGAGTCAGTTGTTGTGCTGCTTGGACACGTGGGGTTATGTCATCATAATAAAAATATAAACAAAGGGGGAAAAAAAGAAAAGCCAAAATAAAAACCAAAAACAAACCCTGCAGAAGCTGTCATGTGTAAACTCTACCAAGACACATTTCTGCACTTTTAGTTGGTGTCAATTTGTTTTTCCAAGACACAAGCCCCAGCCTTTCATATCAGTAACTATGAAAATACATTTTCAGGCCACCTTGCCTAGAATCCCCTGYAGCGGCTGTTGGATAACCATCTGTCTTGTAAGTTGCCATTGTTACTGTGATCTGTCCCTTTCACACCATTATCTTGCTGAAAAGCCTTTTCTCAAAGTACTCCATCAGAGCAGGGAAAGAAAAACCCCGGTGCATTGCCACGCAGCAGAATCAATGGCTCCCTTTGATCTGCAAGCTCAGTCAGTACTACAAATTTAAGAAACAGCAAGGTTTTGCTTTGCTAAGCAAAGCCTGTTAATTTGGCTCATCTGCACTCATAGGATCTTACTGAAAATGCCATCTGTATCAGATGTTTTAAGACTTTGGTGCAATATTCGATTAGCTAAGATAAATAATTTAGTAAGATTCATTAAAAAATAATCAGTGAATTAATTTTCATAGTGTACATCTACGCTAATAATTTTTAAAATTCAGTCCTCTACTACCCTGAATGGCAGTGAGGATGTTCACAGTGGATGAAGAAGATGCTGGTTATTGATGGAATAAGACTGAACATGTTTTGTTTCTTATTCTAATCATGGAATTTCCTCTGAAATCTACTACGCGTGTTTGAGTCCTGTTACTGGCAAGAGCAAAATGCATACGCTCTACATGGAAAATAAGACCTTTTATGTCTGTTGCAGGCCAGATATTTAGTGCAGGAAATTTAGCTCCTATCATGASAAAACAAGTCCACAAAAACATAATTTCATGCTACTGAAAGGAAATCTTTTGTGCTGATATAAAGAACAGGAATGTATACCACTGAAATCACTGTAGATAGCTATAAAACACTATGCAATATATAGAAAAATCCTAAGAACATACAAAATTTACCAGCAGGGACCTGAAAGTGCAAAGAGTACACATAACTAAATACGAAGTCCTGATCTATAAAATCTTTATGAACGACATACAGCTGATAATTACAAAGCATCATTCAGACCACCAAATAACAAATGAAACAAATAAAGAAAAATATTCTCTAAGAAAATCAAAAAACAATGACAGCATTGGGAATGTTATCTTTGGGACTCAGTACATAATTTCTAACTCAATAACTACCAAAGCCAAGGAAAATATATGCTTGAACAGGGCAACATAAATAAGAATGYAAGCCACCACAGAATGCCTCAGGACTACTACCTCTTTATGTCTCAGCCTTTAAATCCAGCAAGCCATTAACWGTTTGTTCTTGGGCATCTCACAGTATTTTACAGGGATCTTTCAGGATTTATTTATASGTCTAAAGGAAGCCTTTGAACCTCCTTTCAGTGATTGTTTCAGGCATTGTGTGGGGTTATACAAATATATTTGTATGAAAATCAAAAGCCCTAGTAAATATTAGATCTTCTATYACCTTTCAAAATAAAAAACATAGATGGCTTAAAGACAAAAGTGAATTTTAGAAGTACAAAGTTAATTTGAATATTAAATTGTACCTTTACTCTCACACAACAATTACCCTGAATCAACGTCAGTATGTCGCAATGATTCGAAATACTGACGCCCTACTACCAGCTACTTTACCATTTTCCTTTAAAGGATATGATTGTCCTTAAAATATGTACATAGCAAGCAGCCAAACAAACCACCAAGAGATTTGCAAAATGTGCTTACACTGGGTATGTGACAGAAAGCTGGAGGGAGCAACTGGGGAGCACCTGGTGGGGGCAGCTGCCCTCCCAGCCACGCTCCACGGCCAGCCCAGGGCTCCTCGCTCCAGGGGTTAGCACCGAGGAGGAGGCTGCCCGCCACCATGCAGAGGATGGAGGAAAAACGTGGCAGAAAACAAAGGAGAGAGAGAGCAATGAAGGGAAGCCAAAGCATTTTAATGACGATTCGTGTTAGTGGTTACGTGAGGGGGAGTTAGGCGAGTGTCRCACTACTGGTTTCTCAATACAGACATGCCACAATGCAAACAAAACACATATGATGAATAACTTGACACACACAAGTCCCGTAGAGATGGCAGCTGGTATTTCCTAGTGGCTTTAAAGCTTCACCACTCCTGCTACCTGTACTCAGTGCTTCCAGTTTTTACAGCACTACCATCACATCCTCCCTCCCTCTCCACTTCCAGTACCCTATAGAATCTCTCAGCACAATTYGTCCTTAGAACAAAATGGGGAATTACGATTTTTCTGCAGAGTTGTCATGCAAGGAAAGATGCATCCCTCACAGTCAAACAAAAACAAAAGAACGGGAAAAGGAATGTCATGTTTAGGGCTGAGGATCAGGATAATATTCTGTGTTCTGTACATACAGCCTTTTGAGGGTGTTTCAGCTTTGACTTTCTAAAATGCACAAGTGGAGTCAGACCAAATGCAAATCCCTTTCTGAGGCAAAGGAAGCCATRGCCAGCATGTTTGCAGGCAGATCTGGAGCCCACCCCCCAGCCTGTGCGTGGCAGCGCTCAAACGAGTGTGAGTGTGCATGGGGAGAGCCCTCACTGGCACACGGGCCCTGCCAGGAGCGTGTGCTCGCTACACATGCATATGGACAACACGTCTGTGCGAGGAGGCATCTAGGAAACCACACACCTACAYGTCAGAAAGAAAACATAAAATAATCCTCTTTGAAGTGTATTAAGGTTCTTAAACCATGAAAACAGGGGCTGGTCGGGAAAACTAACACGTTTGCTGGGGTATTGAATCCTGCAGTGATTTCAAAGCTAGATGCCAATTTCCCTTCATGACTTTAAGGTCATTTCTCCAGTGAACCTTGAATCACGCATGTACATATATACAATTCTTATWATGGTATTTCCTGGCTTTTTATGGTTTGCCTATGATCTTAATATCCTTCAAACACATATTCTGTATATTTATTTTCCTTTTTTCTTTTTCCTTTAGAGTTAAGAGACGATAAAACCAACTGCTATGTAAGATCAGACCCATTAGCTTCAATGACATGAATTTAGGATTCTCTGCATAATATAGACATGTATATTTTAAAAATGTATATTTTTTTTCAGATACACTGGAGCATATATTTTATATTAACTGTGGTCTGATGATTAAATACTTATATTAAAATATTCTGTAAATACATAATATTTACCTTTAGACTTCAGTGACTTTTAGAGCTTTTTCAGTGTATCATAAAAATATGTCCTCAGGCACATTAAAAACCTATTAAATTTCTTTGAAATGTTGCCAATGCCCATTTACAGTAGCCACTATTCAAAATGTCATGGCCATTAATATATTTCCCCTAAGAACCAAGCTCATCAGACCRTTTTATGTACCACTAGCTTACCACATTTTTTTCTCTCTTAAAGTAAAATTATTCTGACATTATTAAGAATGAAAATAAAAAGCAACGAGAACCCAAACTTTCTTTAAATATTCAAAAACTAATTTTATATATTTTAAAAAATAATACTTAAAAAACTTGTTTCTTTGCTGGGTTCCTTCTCGGTAAGGTTTAAGCCCAGAGCAACTTTGTCTAAACCCCTGAAAAATAGAGGTTTGCAGTGGCAATGCTATCAGAACATCAGCTCTGAGCCATGGAATGTACCACTGGAATAAAATCAGCACTTCAGACTTACTTATCTGTGGATGCATGAGCCCATACAAACCAGATTTTTGCTCTAATTTAAGGTTCTTACACAAAGTTCTACCATTTTAGAACTGTAAAATTATCTACCTATAAAAACTAACTCTTGCTTAAACTCTAGATAATAAGGACAGGTGATTTTTTTTTTATAAAAAATCTGCTAAAACATGTATATATTTACACATGGCGAGCAAGTTACTGTATAAATGTGGACAGTGTGTATATATTGGCATTTAGTAAAATGTTTCCCTGAACCTGTATGCATTATCGGGCGAGTATTGATGTAAACATCTGAACCTACGTCAGGTGTCTCTGTTATCCATTTACATTAGACCAGATCAAAACCAACCACACAGACAAACGAAAATATGTTTTCCTGTTAGACAAGTCACCTAACTCCTTAGTTTTATCTCCTGCACACAAGTCAATCAAGTCTGCTGCTGAGCAGTGTTCTTGTTCCTACAGCAGGTAAAATACCTGTTAGGTGGGTTGTTTTCTGCTTGGCATTTTCTGCAACATCTTGTAGAGCAAACATCATTTCCGGAGCCCGCCAGGCAACCACCCTCTACTCCTCCCCAAGAAATGATTAAAAGTGTATTGGAGAACCTCTCATGTCGCTCCTTTTTTAACTCTGTTCCCTTGAASAACTCATGACACTGCTTTGCACGAGGAAGGATGGTCGTAATCCAAGTCCCACTTTCAGAAAAGCATGTAAAAATGAACCTCCCCAGTGTTCAGTGTTGCAGAAAAAAGATACAAATGTAAAAAAAAAGTGCTCAAAAAGAAGTTGACTTTTTATATTCAGTCTAGTAAGAAGAGACTCAGAAGTGCAGGCCCATGGAGTACAATGGAGGAAGCCTTTTAGGCGACTTTCTTCAGGTGACACAAAACTGTCATTATCTGTGGTCTCCTATGCAGACTTTCCCACATTGACTTCATTCTGTCTTTGTCTTCCCCTCTTACCCAACTACTTTTTGGCACTGTCCTGGTGCGTGGCAGTTTTCACTGTCGTCCCTGYCACGCCTCTGTTACTGACCCGGCGTACCAGCACTTTGGAGACRGGGATTTTCGTTCTGTGCATCTCGCTTTTGGCCAGGTGATGGTGTGCGACGTGATGGCTGTTACTGGCATCTGCTCCATGGCTGGCGGGATGTGAGGAAAGGTGTTTGATGCTGATGGGTATCTTGGAGTCCTTCGCTGCACTCGAGGGCGTTTTCAGCGAGCTCACRGTCATTATTGGAGACACGGGCTTGGAGTGTGGCACGCTGGGGACTCCTTCGTTTGTAGGCCCYGCTGGTGGGGTCTCATCTGGCTCAGCATAGAGGTCATAGAGAGCATCCCCACTGTAGCTATCCCTGGGAATGGTTTCCTTCTGGATGCTTGTGGAGCTATCTTCCTCGGGACCAGGGGTGGTGGAATCCCAGTAGCCCTCGTCGCTGTTTGGGGCACCCTCGTGCTGCTCCTTTTCCCTGCCCTTCTGCTCCTCTTTGTGGTTAAGGTGAATAGCAATCTGGTGGAGGCCACCGCGTTTCACCACCACCTTATTCTGGGCCCCCTCGGTACCTCGACTTTCCTTCAACCCCTCAGGCTTCTTTGTCCCGCCTCCGCTTCCTCCTCCTTGTTTCTGAGTCTCGTCTGTATGCGACAGCATATCCCAGAAGTCCTGCAGGCAGGTGTCATCCACCTGGTCGGGGCTGGCCATCTCCTCCCCTCCTCCCTGGTAGGCCACCATGGTGGGGTGCTTCTTGGTGGCACCCAGCTTGCTGGGCCCGGGGGTGCTCTTCTCGCAGACGCCACTCCCGCCGCCCACATCCTCCTCATGGTCCGCAATAATATCTCCACAGCCTGTAAGAGAGTCAAAGCTTTTCAGTGAAGTCACGTCAGCAAACATCAAACAAATACGATCAATCGATTGCTCTGAGGGTGGATCAACAGAGGAAGGGTCAGGGGCGGCTGCCGTCTCTTGACCGCTATCACAGTGAGGTTCAACAGGGGGGATAGTCGKTATTGGAATGTCACCTGTTATCGCCGCATCCTTCGCAGTCCCAGCCTCTCCGGCGGCCGGCTCCGGTCGCTCTCGGCTGAGCTCCTCGGGTGGCCGCACGGCGGCGGGCGGCTCCTCCMGGGGCGGGGGGCTGCTGGACCGCGGCTCCGCTCCGCCCGCTTCGGGCTCCTCGGCCGCGGCRGGCTCCTCGCCGCTGCGCTTCTCCCGCGGCGGCTCCGGCCCGGCGTCTCCCGCGCCGCTCGGGCTCTCAGACAAAGGTTTCGGCGTCTCCTCCTTGATGCATTCCAGGCTGGCGGTCAGGGACCCAGGCATGATAAGGCCGGATGGGATGTCCGAGGATTCCCCCCTCTCCTCCTTGCCGGTTTTGTCCTTTCTGTGCCACCGCATGCTGCTGAAGATCCCCTTCAGCCCCTTCTTTTGTCTGACGCCGGTCCGCGGCTCCGCGCCCTCCGCATGCCTGCCGTTCTTCCTCAGCAGCGAGAAGAAGCTGTGCGACTTGGCCACCGAGCTGCCGCCAGCGGGGCCGCCGAGGCTGCCGGCYGGCGGCTCCTGCGCCTCACGGCTCTGCGGCTCGCCGCCGCCCGGTTCTTCCTTCTTGCTGCTCTCCATCACGGCGTCGGCCAAGCCGTCGTGCGTCCGGCTCCGCACCATCCCCGGCTTGCTGGCGCCCTTCCCCTCCCCGCCTCTGCTCCGCACCCCGAAGATGCTCGGCATGGTGCCCCCGGACTTCCTCCTCCTGAAAAGCTTGAAGGCCGTTTTGTTAATCCTCCCCGACGGCTGCTCGGYGGCCGGGGGCTCGGCACAGTCGCAGTGCGAGTCCATTTCTGCCTCTGCCGCTGCAGCCGCCGCCGCCGCGGCTTCCCCTCTGCCGCGGACCGCGGTGCGATCCCTCAGTGACAGCCCCGCCGCCGCCGCCCGCCCATCTCCATGGCAACCCGGCGGAGGGAGGGCGGGAGGGGGGATAAGCCGCTTTCCCTCCTTCGCGGGTCCGCGCCTGGCCGCCGCCGCCACCACCGCCCGTTCCGAGCCGCCGCAGCGCCGCCCTTATATAACGCGGCCCCTGCCCACCGCCCCACGCCCACGCACAGCCGCGCTCCCGGGAACCCCGGGAGGGTGCCGCGCCCGGGAGGGCAGAGCAGGGCTTTTATTTATGGGAGCGTTCTGCATCGCCCCTGCGTCCTGCCCGTACAGCCGCGCCGCGTTCTGGACCACGGGCATGGCGTGACTGAAGACGTGGGCTGGGGGATGCGGCGAAGCGCTCGCAGCGCCAGTAGAAAACGGGGGCTGGGGGGTCCACCCCAGCGGCGGTCTGCAGGTGCCAGCGTGCCACACGGCAGGCGGGCGGGAAAAGGGGACACCCAGACCGAACTTGGTATGTAAATACTCCCGGGGGCAGAGGCAAAGATGCTAAGTTTTCCCCTCTCCCCTTGCTTTTCCATCTCCCACCTCACCAGGACGACTCGCACGGTCCTGGTGTCCCTCTTTCTCTGCGGTGCCCGGGGCCACATGTTGTCACTCCGACGACCAGAGGGGAGCAGTGGTGCAAACTGGGGCACAGCCCAGCCCTTATCCCAGTCATCTCCCCTGCCACGGAGGGGGAGCACGGTGGYAGCCCCCACACAAACCTTTCTCCAGACCCTGCATCCACTGCATCACCTCATGCTGATCATGCCCATGTTGAATTGCCACCAGGGATGATAGCAAGCAGTCTAGTCACATCAGGGTGGCTGGTGTCACCCTGATCACAAAACTCTTAACTGGCTGCAAATATATCCCAGGTGAGAGTCGAATTGAGTAGAATAGAATAGAATAGAATAGAATAGAATAGAATAGAATAGAATAGAATAGAATAGAATAGAATAGAATAGAATAGAATAGAATAGAATAGAA